TGGGTGAATCATAGAATGCAACCTAACATCTGTCAGATGCTTTCATTGGACACTGGATATGAAGTAGGAGTGAATGAATGCAGAAGTAAGCAATCAGTTGACTGATCAATCTCACACCTATAAACATATTACAAAGTAAAAACGAAGTTTGAGAGATCAATAATAGGAAGAGATTCTGCATATGTGTGGTAGGCTTGTGTGTGCAATGTACTGTTGTCCAATTAAGACAGCTCAGCCATTCGCAATACTATCATCAGTCATCTCAACTCTACTGCAGAGGGGGAATTAGAGCCCCCAGTAAAAGAAGCAGGAATATAAGAGAGAGAGAGTAGGAAGAAGAAAAGTGATCTGTGTTCTCACTGGCACTGGAGGCACAAAAGCAGAAGGTGACACATAAGAGACAAAAAACAGATGATGTCTAATCTTTCTCTCAGCTGGGACAAAAAAAAAAAAACTTGAGAGGAGTCTATTAACACCTCCTGGGGCGGGCTTTTTATGAGTATCACATCTTTTTATCTCTCTCCCGCCTTCTCCCTTACAGCTCATTTCATCCACAGACCTGTAGTGTAAAGTCATTGCTTTGATGTTTGAGCTCTTTTATCTAAAATATACCGAGAGAACATGGAAGAACAGGTGTTTGTCATGAGTTATCTGTTCTTGTATCACTAGCTTTTAGCTCATGCTTCTTATTTAACTGAACTATGTTCGATAAAGCTTGTTAATTATTAGAAAGTATTTTCAAGCAAATATAATTTCTAACATCTGTCTTAAACATCTCAAAAAGGGCTCTCTCTCTCTCTCTCTCTCTCTCTCTCTTTTTCTCTTTCTCACTGTCTATCAAAGTCAGTTCTTTTTTCAATTCTCAAAAACTCAAATTATCAACATTTTGTGGGATTGTAAGGTTTTAAAATTCATTTACACATTTTAAATACATCTCCAGGGCGTGGACACATCTCAAACTCACTGACTTATTTATGCCTTGGTAAAGACAACAAAGCAACAAAGAAATTGCAATAAACAACAGCCATTTGAAGACATTCAATTATTGAAAGAATACATTAAATTAATGTGTTAGATAATTATGAAGAGGAGGTGGCAACATGTCTTATTAATAATCAAGGTTAGTGATAGTATTGATGCACACATAAAAACCTCCGCTTTCCCTAAACTGCATGAAGCACAGCATGAACAGGCAGAGTAAAACTCAGACTCTCCATTTCAGCTGGGAGGCATTTTCAGACCTGCCTTGGTTTGTGCAAACCTGTCGAACTTTTTCTGTAGTTGAGTTTTGACGTGCGAAACTCCACGCACAAAATAGCTGAACCATGCTAGATCATGAGGGAATTCAGCACCAGAGCACGTTTTTTTCCTCTGCACATTTTTACTGTACTGTCTGCACAATCTGCTGCTTTAACATTTAAATTTTTACAAACGCTCAGACACGTGAGTGTTTATTGATCAGAAGTTTTGCAGGGATGCAAATCCTGGTTCCTGCACTATGAGCTGCTGTAAATAACGAAAGACAAGCAATAAAATAATGATATGCGTTTGATTATAGATTGTGGAGCAAATTTTTGGCCAAGCATCAGCAACCATCAGCGGTTTCAATCAGTGGCCTAATTGCATTGTGTCACTCAGCACTCAGCCAGCTTTTGCCCCACCACTTTTGGAGGTGTGGTGCCACCCCTGGCCCTGGAATCTTCACTATGGTTAGAATGGCCTACATTTTTGTCCAGTATCTCTCTTAAAAGCATGGTAGCGCATTTTGCATGCAGTGGGAAAAGGGAAGGAAGAGAAGCAGTGACAATTGTGCATTATTTGGCTTTGGATGCTTCCATCCGGAGGCTCCATAAGAAGGTCACATCACAGGAGGGCACAGTGCAGAGACTGGTAGAGTGGCGAATCATCTTCCTTTGTATAAGTGTGTGTGCATATATTCAAAAAACCATGTCAATCTACAGACAGGCCATTGGTTGTTCATGATGAAATGCTCAGGCCTCTTGCTCACTAAATCTAAAAGAAGGATAATTGATGACTACTTTTGGTCTGTGAATGGCTTGATTTGATGCTGAGCTGAATTGTTCGTGTCTGTTAAGTGCTTTGCTAGAAATGCCAGTTAGTGGAGTTAGTGGACATTTGTGGATCAAAAGAAGTATTCTAACTTTCCAAATTCAGTAAGTGTGTTGTTCAACCTTGAAAACAAGACAGAAAGATATCTCTACCAGCTCAAGGTGTGTATGCATATATGCCTTTCCCTGTGCTGTGTGGCAGATTTTTGGCACAATACTAGTCTCAAGTCTAGTGACTCAAGTCTAGAGACTAGTGATCAGTCAAAGTAAGTATAAGCCCTTTGCACATTTCCAGCTTGCCACTTCCATAGGCTTCTGAAGCACATAATTACGTTTCCAGTCTTGGCAAAACCACAGTATGTGGGGCTATATAGAAAATTTGCTTGCAATTGTGATTTAAAAGATATTTTAAAAGATAATGAATAAAGCTGTAGTTGAATGATGTGTCAAGCTGGCATGTAATTAACTGGGAAGAAAAAATATTGTGTCATGTAATGCTTCAACTGTTAGGTTTAGCTTTATCCCATCTGAAAGCATTCCTTCCATTCCTGCTCATCAGACACAAAAAAGGCGGAACCCAAATGATAAGAAGAGTCATTTTGTCCTTTCAACAAAAATCAAACCACCTTGGGAGCCACAACATTTAATGTCCAGTATGTCTCTGTATGTGATAACGTCCTACTATAGGCTAAACAATATAAAGGAAAACGCAGATTTACTTCACTGTGCTTTAAGCTTTAGCTATAGCTGCTTTCCTCCCATTTTCGCCAGAAAACTTTACCTCTAAAGTAGATCAGTTTCTTGTAAAATGTCTCTCAAAGTTCGACTGTTTTACAAGGCTGAAGTCGCTTCTTAAATCGCTCCAGCTTCTTGTTCGAATTTTCCCGTTCCACCTTAAATTCTGACTGAGGCGCCGAATGTAAATGCGGCACCATTTAAGGTGGAACATCTTCACAACTTTTTAGTGTTTGACAGTCTCTCGTTGCAGATTTAGCTTGCAAGTAAACTAACTGCGCCGCTTATAAATGCGAATAATGCATTGCTGCTCAGACCTGCAGTCTGAGAACGCCAGTTCTCAGTTGTTGAGAAACATCGCTTTTGTTGCACATGTCCTGAAAATATTTTACTGACACAGGAAGCTTATGCTGTTGTAACTGTCAAGTGGAAGTGATGCAGTGGACGGGCTAAACTCCAAAACTCCATGTCCTGCAGTTTTTTTAGTGTTTTTACCCTAATACATCAATAGTACGCATAATCTTTATTTTTTGTTGTCACATTCTCTTAACCAGCGAAAAGGTTCAACATAAAAGTAAATGTGAAGTAGATAGTGTCTGGTGTCCTTTATTTATGGGAAGAACACTCTCTAACGTATTTTCTGGCCGAAGTAAAAAATAACAACAGAAAAGCTCTGTTATGCCACAACTGAATTTACTTAACACACAACTGGATAATAAAGTATGTTTGTGGATATTTTAGTTGGTTTTGTATAATGTATTTGCCTCATACTAGTCAAAAACAGATCAAACAGATCACAGTTTTGCTTTGACTGCAAAGATGCAATACTTTTGAGAGTCAGTCATTTGTATACAGTGTACTAATACAGTGTTTCAACTATATATATTTTGCAGCGGCAGCCTGGAGTAGAGGGGGGGATTGCCTGCCACTGCTGCTGAAAATAATCCTAGAGGAAACACTGTGATGTGCAGCCATATTGCATATATTCATATTCACAGCTTGCTGCATGTTGAATAAGAGTTGGAGTAATTGAGCTATAAATAAAGACCAGAGGTGTGAACACTTTAGCAGATTTGAATGTTGTGACAATTTCTGCTGAGGTAAATCAGGTGAGGCAAAGGTCCATGTACAGCTGGGCGATATGGCCAAAAATGTTATCACGATAAACAAAATTCATATCAGTTGATATCGGTACATATCGCGATAAATGTCAAATTATTATTTCTTTCAAGTTTGAAGGCTGATTTTTGCTCCTGTGTGGTTAATTGCTGTTTAAATCTATACTGTATGGTCAGAATATGACAACACTTGCCAAACAGTGAAACAATTCACAAATCTGTCATGGGGTGGTGGGAGAAAGTTTCTGGTGAGCTATTTTTACTAGCTGGAAAAGCATGGCCGCAATTTTTGTAATATTCATAATTTAAGAAGGAAAACAGATTATTTTACAAGGTTACAAGTTTTAAACTGTTTAGTTTCTCAACAACGTCAGCTTAGTACGAACAGCAAACATTAGCTGGCATCTTTCTTTCACTTTTGTTGCTTGGGAATGCACTAATATTAAAATATGACTGAGCGTTGTAACAGTGAGGAGCAGACGTGATTTAACAATGCTAAAGCTTGTTAGGATGTTAGGAATGAGGTGAGTTCACTTTAGGACAGTACAGTTACGCCACTTATCTCGTCACTTAGTCACAGCAGAACAGATTGCCAATCGCTCCACTCAGACAGGCAATACATAACTCCATGTTTCAGATGTTGGCGATGTTATGTTATATGTTTTACTTGTCGCCCCCTCCCTCTCTAATCTAGTCGAAAAACTCAGAAGTGCGCCCTCTCCTGGCGACAGCAGAGTAGTGTTGCTTTCCTTGCAGTAGAAAACGCCACCAGGGCTGTCGCTAAACGTAGAACTGTGAGAATGGTCTATTATATCAAACATTTATGGAACATTTCTTATAGTTCTATCGAGGAAAGTTATATCGCGATACTTATCGTTATCGTTTTAACGCCTAGCCCCAGGTCCATTCAGGAAATTTTCCAGGTGGCCCCTTGAGTGCCTTTTTTGCTTCTTCATTTAAGGCAAATGTCTCGGCTTACAGCTCTTCTCTCTCTCCTCTCTCTCTCTCTCTCTCTCTCTCTCTCTCCCGATCTCTCCCTCTCTCTCTCTCTTTCTCTCTCTCTCTTTCTCACTCTCAGTTCCAGATTTTGGTGTTGACAGGCTCACCACAAATGCAAGCCAGGAGCTTCAAGGACTGGTTGCACCTAAGGTGTCAGGCCTAGAACGTAGCCAGGAGAAGAATCAGGAGAGCTACCTAGCCGCCCCTTCTTCTGTGGGGCCTTCTGCCCAGCCCAAGCCACATCACCCTCAACACCTCCAACCAAGTCCAGCCAGCCAAGCCCTTTTCTTACCTTTACGCACACCTGTCAGCCCTGTCCAGACTCAGCTCTCACAACCAGAGCGTCAGCATAGGCGGTCAACTCTCTCTGCTAACCTGCCTTTTGCATCTGGGCACCAGCTCTCACAGGCTGCTCCTACCCGGCCCCAGCACCTGTCTGAGACTCCTACTCACCATCGACTTCCCCCGACTCCAGGATTATACCACTGTCCAACCTCGCCTGTGTTACCCACTCAACAGAACCACAGTCAGCCAGTGCAGCATCGGCCGGCCTTGGGGTGTCACCCACATCCACTTTCTGCCTACAGCAGCAGTGTTACCTTCAGCAGCCTGAGGTGAATATGTAAAATGAATGTGAACTAACTGGAGTGAATGTTATCAAGAAGGCATTGGTTAAATAAATATGGGTGATGCTGTTTATGGCCCCTATACTGCACTCTGCAGTCTGAATCGGAAATTAAATTAAATTGTAAAACTCTGCATTGCATTCATGTGTGTTTGTATTTTAGTTTGCTTGATGGTCATGTAGGAAGCACCTCTGCTATATGTTAAGAGGATTTGATTTGTTCCTTGTTCCTTAGTGTGGCTAGCAACAGCATGCAGGCATGATTGTCCCTGATTGGCTTTTCCATGTGGTTCATGTATAAAGCTAACATAGAAGGAGTGTGTGTTTTCTGTCTTCCTCTTTGGTACTAAACAGTCAGTTAAATGCTGTTCAACTAGTACACCTAAATTGATGAAATGTTTTACCTTAGAGTTTTAATTTGGAAGATACTTCATCAGTGAAGCAATTGTCAGTTTATCTTGTTTGTTGATGTCCAGCAGCAGCAAGAACTGAGTTGACTGCAAAAACCTACCCCCCCGCCCCACAACCTCTGCACTTACCCCTGCTCTTACTCTCACTCACTCTCTGTGATTGAATGCTCTCTGAGATTTCCGCTGAACATCTAGTTTCAGCAGCCTTAATCTCTTTCTCTCTAATCAATTTCAGTTCAGAGTAGGGCTAAAAATGATTTTAATGCACGCTGGGTTTCCATAAATAGCATTTTCTTTGGTCAAAAGTTGACTCTCAGTGACATAATCAAGAGTCAAAACAGTTCAGTTTCAAACTAAATGAGGCAGAGCAATAGATGTTACTGTGTCAAGCCCAGACCGGGGTGGGATTTAAAAAAAAACAATACATTCTAAAAGGCTCACAGACAAACACACACACACACACACACACACACACAGAGAGAGACAAGTTGTAAACAACCTAGCTACTAACGTCTGGACAATAGCAGCTTCCTGCAGTCCAACCAAACATGTTTGAGCCAGAACACAGAGATAAAAAAATTCACCTGGCACAGGAGAGCATTAAGAGTTGTAGCAGCCAACCATGGGACAGTGCCTGTTGTTCGGTGCCTGCGTCAGTGGAATTTGTTATAGCAAATTTACTTGAGCAAAATTTACACTGTCTTTTTTCAGCTCTTTTTTTTGGGTTTAACAAATAGTCATCTACAGAAAAAATACTTACCCATGAAATGCAAACTGTTGCTATAGCATCCAATGCACACATCATAGTCGGACATGATTAATAACATAGAATGTGTGTTTTGCTGCTGATAAATTTAGTCAGCTAAGATGGAACAGTTATAAGAAAATCAATCCACGCTAATTTGCTCACCTTAGACTTAAGCTACTGACAACTACTTGTGTGTCCTCCCGTTTTTCAACATTTGGAATAATGTTGCTTTCCACTATTCTCACATTGTTAGAGTACAGATAAAACCAACGCAGGGACACGGGAAGGTGTTTTAAGTTGGGGGTGCCGAAATTTTAAGCAGAATATATGTCATGTGAATGTTGACATCAAGCAAAATGATTTGCATTAGAGTCAATTGCATTTACATTTAAGTTTTTTAATAATTTACATCAAAAGGAACTTATCATGACAAGCCATAACATAGCGAGAGATGACAATATACACATTTAACTGACATTATACCACTGAAGCCCACCCTGATTTCTCTGCTCTCTGTCTTTCTGGACAAACAAGTGAACAAAACAGTTGAGTGACGTCCAATCAGATTGTTGATGTGTGGCACGGTAACCATTTGTGTCACGCCTGTAGCCACGCATTCGCATGCTCTCCAAATGGGAAATATGACGTTATTGGAAATATGGGAAATATGATGTTATTTTTTCAAGCAGTGTTTCAGATGCTGCTGGATGGATCTTTCACATTCCTTGAACTCTGACGAAATGACAGTTTCTTTCACTTTAGGCCCTGGTGAACGACCAGTTAACTGAACTTTAAATATCTGAATGTCTGTTTTGTTATATCTTCTGAATATTTTAGGTTTGAACAGCCTGCAGACACTGTAAAGGTTAATTTGATTTAGTAAATAATTGCAGGCTTGCTTTCCCCTGCTTTCACTTATAACTTTTGCACTCCAGCACAACACAAATGGTCAGCACTGTTTCAGTGAAAGTTTTAGTTATCAAGGACTGCAAAACAAACTTTACGGTACGTGTGTCTTAGAGTGTGCGCCACAGAGGTAAACATGTCCTTTGGAGCGTTGAGGTGTTACCTGGGAGTGTCTTAAGTGGCTGCCTGTCCCAGTGCATTGTGGGAGTTGTTGTTTTTTTAAAAAAAGCGCGTGAAGATCTCAGCTGGAAAAAATATTCGAAATTCTTAAGCTGTCGAGGAGAAATTTGAACCATTTTTGTGTGATTTGTTTTCAGGGAGCATAAATATTTGAATTGTGTAAGTCAGAACAGTGGTGAGTCATCCCTTTAAAGCAGTGGTACAGTGTTCTGGTTAAGGCTGCACAATATGGACAAAATACCATATTGTAGATATATTGCTACATATGGAAGTTACAATATACTGTGGCATCCACCACAGGCTCTGCACTGTGTGAGTATATATTGATGAACTCTCAATGTTATGCAACTGCATTATTTTTAAAGAAAATTAATCTGTGTTTGTTGCCTCAGGTCTTGATTTATTAAATACGTCCAGAGAACATCTGATTATCACACTCACAATACAGACTCATTTGCATATTGCAGCATTAGCCATATCAGGGTTGCCAATGTTGCCATAATGATTAACAAACAATATATTGCACTGGCTTAGTACAGAGTGCTGTACTGGTTTGACGGTTGGGTTACAAATTATGAGAATATTAATATCAGAATAATAAAACAAGTAGTCACACATTATAGAGTTTTTAAAACTGTGATGTAGTTAAATCATTGAGTTTGTTAATCTTGTTAATCTTCTTTATCAAGCCCTATCAGCAGCAAGTGCTAACTTACTGTCTCTGTCTTTCGCAGTAGTACCAGGAGCAGTACTCCAGGGAAGCCACAGGGTCACCCTTCTGCTCCTCATCTCTCACAGCACCAAGCTGTTCCCTCTGGGCCATCATCATCCTTCCCCCTGCCCCTGTCATCCAACCCCAGTGCACCCCACTCCTTCCCCCGTACCCTGCAGCCCTCAACACATTCTCATCACCCCAATATGTTTGCCCCGCCTGCCACTTTGCCTCCTCCGCCTCCACTGACCTCAAACACTCTGCCAGTTCCTGGACACCCAGCTGGGAGTGCTTACTCAGGTATTATAACTCCTATCATCCACATTTCTGTACTAAGTGTTTGGCTTTATGTATCAAGAAAATAGGTACAACCTTATCTGTCTGTATTAAATGTTGGACTCTATATATATATATATATATATAAAACAAAAGGCTCACTTGTTGCACTCCTCTGTCTTTCCCCTTTTATATTTGTTTCCCACCCTGTCTTCTTTAAGAGCAAGACCTCCTCCGGCAAGAACTGAACACACGTTTCCTGGCCTCTCAAAGTGCAGACCGTGGGGCATCACTGGGTCCTCCACCCTATCTACGCACTGAATTCCACCAACACCAGCACCAGCATCAACACCAGCACACACATCAACATACACACCAACACACCTTTACACCTTTCCCCCACGCCATCATGCCCACGCCTGCACCACCCATGGTGCGTACCCCAGCTCAAAATGTGAGGATAAGCAGAACACAACGCTAAAAAGAAAGGGGGGGAGAAGACAGTGTCAGTTCCTTTAAAATTCAGGAGATCTAGAATGTTTTTATTTGGAAAAAAAAGGATTATAACAAAAGAATCAGTGTGATGTATTGTAATCCTTTGAGTCAGGTGGTCTCTGATGTTGGGAGAGGGATAGTAGAGAACACGATCATGGGAGGGTATGATTACATAAAAATTTGACATTATTGTTTAAAAAAAGAAAATGTAACATTCTCAGTGTAATTATGCACATGCATTAATAAATGCCACTGTTTAAATTGTTAACCCTTTACTTACTGACATATGTACTCATTATTAGTTTGTTAATGATCATCTAAATAAACAACATTAAATATTAAGCATTTACTTGCATACAAATCATTCATAACTCTTATGAATAACTACTTTGTAATTATCCACATTCATTATCCACATTGTTTTAAATGATTAAGAATTTAATGATTTTGCTGTGCTGTGATGCATAAACCTTTGCTTAATGCTTAGTTACTTGTTGAAATAGTTATGAATTGGACCAAGCTGCAACTGGTATATATCGAAAAATCGATTCTTGGATGCATTGCGATGCGGACGTGAACGATTCTGAATCGATTCACAAATGTCAAAAATCTGTTTTCTACATTTTAATTTATAACGTAATGTTGACGGAATGCAAAAGGCGGAACTTGGAAGTGCGGAGGTGCAGCACCCGGACAGTCTGTGTCGTGCACATAACAAAAACACTACTGGATGAGCGAGAAATCCGACCGGCACCCTCTGCATTAAAAGCTAGGTTAGGTCAGGAGTCGACAACCCAAATGTTAAGAGCCATTTTAAATTCTGCCTGAGGCGCCGAATGTAAATACGGCACCATTTAAGGTGGAATGGGACAATTCGAAAGAGAAGCTGACTTTATCTTCGCAACTTTTTAGTGTTTGACAGTCTCTCGTTGCAGAATTAACGTACCAGGAAACCAAGTGCGGCGCTTATTAAGTCCATTCATCTCCAAATGTTCGTCTTAAATATGTCTCTTAGCCTTTTTGTTAGCAACTAGCTAGCTAAGTGAGACTGTCTGTATTGCTATGTGACCTGCAGTCTGCACGTCAGTTCTCAGTCGTTGAGACCCAGGGCTTTCACGCTATGTTGCACACGTCCCGTCTCAAAGATATTTTACTGACACAGCGATCCCCACTCCTTACAACGAGACCAAAACCGAAGTTATAAAATCACTAAAGAAAACGGGTAGAATAGCTGTAACATGATGCATGGACATCCTTTACCACAGGATCTTATTTCACAGTAACTGCTCATTTTATCACAGATGAGTGGCAGCCTGCGTCTCATGAGCAGTGAATGAGAGCCTTCCAGTTTACTTGCCACATCACTTCCATTTGATTTATTAATAAAATACATTGGAATTAAATTCCAGTGCAGCCCTCTGAATCGTAATCGAAACGAATCGTGAGGTGCCTAGAGATTCCCACCTCTAATATATATATGTGTGTGTGTGTGTATATATATATATATATATATATGTAAAACATTGTAACATGTAAGCGACATTGAAATACCATCATAATTATCCCACCCAACTCCACATGTGCTAATCTGTTTACAAATTAAAAATAAAAAGGCTAGTTGCAGTCTTTTAAAGCACTGCAAATGCTTTTCAAAAGTGCATATTTAAGTGTCATGAGTAGTGTTATGCTGTATATTTATAAATAGAGTATAAAGTTCACTTACATCTTTATAATAAAGATGCAATTCATTATTATTAATGTTCTTAAAAAGTATATGTTAAGTGTTTAATAATGATTAACTGAGCAATTAGTAAGACAGTAAATAACTACTTAACAAATTAACACCCTATAAGATAATGATTAAATTGCTGTGTTAAGCACAGTGTTAAACACACCAAATGCAACATAAATAAACGGTACGAAAATTCAGGCTCTTTCACTGAACTCTGACCTCTGTATGAGTTGTTTTTTGAGATGCTGTTCCACACATGACAAAGCACAGAACAAACACAAAAAATAACATATTTAAAGCATTTAAAACACTGAGTCATATTGCTCTGTGGTTTGTCAGTCTCCTTCAAAGATGACCCGAAGAGTCTTAAAACAGGTGAAAACAACTTTCAGGGGCTGCCAGTCTAATGACATCAATTAAGTGCCCAGTAGCATTAGTTTACACGTGGCAATATTCAAATTTCAACTCTTTAACAAACTCATAATTCAGAGGACCCAGTGATATTTAAAAGAAAAATTGTTGTATGGACATACAACAAAACATGTCAGCTTTGAAACATTTTTGATTACCGCAGGATGTGACAAGCCAGACATTATGCTATTCCCCAATGCCAAACAGCAGAGGATTGCTAACTCCCCTTTTATTAGAGAATCTCTGGCAGAGTTTAACTGTATGCGATGGGGCCATAACCTATAGGAACTGAGCAGAGTGGCACATGCTTTATCTCCACCACTGTGAAAAGTATTATTTGGTTCCTATATATTTATACCTATAAGAGATGGAGAAATACTTCACATTTTCGTGTCGCTTATTCATGTTGCATTTTGGTGTGTAACAGTCTTTAAAGCCTTTAAAGTCTGTTACTGTAAAGTGCTAAAAAGTGCTAAAATGCACTATTGCAAAAGCACACCTTGCCACAGTGAGACTTCTAATTGCTGCAAAACTGTCCTGTGCTTTTCTCAGTTTTTGCCTCATGCCCTCTGTGCAGTTAGTTCATAGTTGGCAGGAGTGTGTGCCAGCAATTTGTTAGACTCTAGCCAAGCCTTAATGGCAGTTTATTCACTTTGAGCTTAATGACATCATTTGGGTTAAGGAGGCTTTAACGGAGGGCTGTGGATTGGCAGGCATTTGGGATAATTAGTGTGCACAGACACATGCAGCCCTGCAGCTAGTGCTTAACTCACACTGAGCACACTCTAGACCAGTCCTCTGTGTTAGCTAAAGAGAGTATAAAAAGAGTATAAAAATGGTTTTAGAGCCAGTATGTTTATAAATGATGGAAGAAATATCTCTAGTAACTGATTAAACCACTCAAACCACTTTTGACAAGCAGCTTTTTTGGCTGTTTTCAGTATTGCTGGGTATCCTCCCTTGACCACTCTAAATAATAAACCTTAATGAGATTGGCATTGGCCACCTGACTGTAATTCACTAATATGGCAGATAAAATAACAGGGTTTTGCGCAAAGTACTACAACCTTAGCAAATGTAAAAGAATTTATGTACAGTAAGAGGAGAATTTATGTACAATAGACTAAATTTTTTTAACCACAGTGTTTGCCAGATGTACTTTCTTGGGTGCATGTTAAACCTGCTTGACAATCTCTGGAATGATTGTCAGGATTGTGTTGTATGCATTGAAAGACTCCCTGTTTCCCTTCTTGTAATAGCCCAATCTCTCTTTTTCTCTCCAGTTTGACAAATATCCTACAAAAGTCGACCCCTTCTACAGGCACAGTGTGAGTGACTATGTGCTAGCACTTTGTGAGCTTTGCATCATTGTCATTGTAGTTTTCCCCTCTTTTACCGCACATCATTTCCTCTTGCTTGGTATTGTGTTTGTGTTTGTATTAATAATAGTTTTTATTATTCTGTTTAGTCTCAGTCTGTTTCAGCTTCAGTTATTTTTTGTTTAAAACTATTTCAAGATTGCTACTTTTGTAAGTATTCTGTAAACAGTACATCATGAAAATAAACATGTTTGTAACTTAGGTAACCTAAGCCGGAAAATTGGGATCTCAAATTATACTGTATCATACATTAGATTAAACCCACGTGTAATGACTAAAAATGCACTCATCTGTTCAGTAATCAGCTGACATTTTTTCATGTCTCTCCTCTTTTCTCAGCTATTCCACTCCTATCCCCCAGCTGTGCCTGGGATTCCACCTGTTATACCACCCACAGGGCCGTTTGGATCACTGCAGGGAGCATTTCAGCCCAAGGTAAGTAGCCACACAGAACAGGAATACTGAATATATGTCATGCCATTAAAAATACTTTATTTATTTTGCTAACAACTGATAACAACTGTAGATAGAAACAGTTGAGATAACTTAATGCTAGAAATGCCATATCAGTCCTATCCTTTATTTCTGTGCTTGTATATGTGTGTGTTTGTGTGTGTTTTCCAGACTACAAATCCGCTAGATGTGGCAGCTAGGCCTGGAGCAGTCCCACACACACTTCTTCAAAAAGACCCTAGAGTATGGCTTCGTTCTGTCATTGACACATTCACACACACATTGAAAATACAGAACATTAGGCTGTCCTTATTTCTACCTAAAAATTGCTACAGAGAATTGGCAGCACAATACAGAAGAGTACATAAAATGCAGTTAGGATTTTTCCCTAACTGCATTTTTAGCATAAATAGATTTGAATTTATTTGACTTCAGTTATTTTAGTTTTATTTTCTTTGATTGACGATGGATATCATTGTGTGGACTGGCAACATGAACTGTCATTTGTCTTTTGTGCAGACTAGGGGTGTAAAGATACATCTGAAGGTGTTGATTGAAGTGCATTAATTTAGCTTTAGGCTAATTTATAATGAATTACTGTAATATCTATTTAAGTATACAGTTTCTTTGGCCAAAATAAAACCCTCCAGATACTTTAAAACCTAAAAAAGGGGCTCCAGAGTAGCACAGCTGTTTAAGCCTTCACCTTATCGTCGTGAGATAACGATAATGCATAACCCTAAATGTTCTGTTGCTTTTTTACAGCAAAAGTAATAAAGCAAAGAAGCTCTGAGTATTGTATTAAATGTGCTTTAACATTGGCAGTTTCTTCTGCCGAAAAAGTAGTATCCTTTTAAGTTACGGATAGAGCCATAAAACTGTTGAAATATCAGGTTCAGCTCAGCTTTTTCAACACTTCAGTACTTGCCAGATTATCCTGAATGTTAGTTTGTTCCAGCCAGTCTGTAAAGCATTTCACAGCCCATCCTTTGTCAGATTGTGTTCTGTTTATTTTTGGCTAATTCCAGCTTGTTTAATTGTTCCGCCGTAATAGCTGCCTACCGAAAAGCTTGCTTAAGAGGAACAACTGGTTCAGAATTTCATGTAGTTCTTCTCTTACACTCTTCTTCAGAATCTGACCAAATGGACTGCAGGTCAAATATTATCTTAGGGAAGTTATCTGATGTATCTGTTTTGTGTTTTTGTATGTGGTAAATTCAGTGTTTCCCACACTATACTTGATATAGATGACTTCACCAAACATTTTGACAGCCAAAGTATACTTTGTCCCATTTTGACAATTCCCTAAATATTTTCTATTGTTATGTATAAACAGGGACACCCTTTGCATAACATGAGATGCAATATCAGCTGCTTGTGTTCCAACATTTCTGTGGTTCAGTGCTACACAATAGTTAGTTGATTCCAAATATGATAAATGCTTTTCTTGGTTTTGCTTCCATCTAGCTGGCAGATCCATTCCGACCCATTCTCAGGGTAAGTGTGCTTTGAGTTATTTAAAAGTAAAAAAACAACATGAGCTTAGAATTATAATCTTCCCTCTGACTTTTTGTTGAAATAGAGCCAAGCATACACTGTGCAGTTTGAGCCTGTTTTTAAGCCTGATTTGGTTGTTGCCGACTAAATTTCAGGATCGGACTGAATTTCAGCTTCATCAGTCATTATTTGATGTGCAGTGTAATGAAGGATACGATGCCCAATTAACTGCCCAGATGAGCTCAGATTGAGCAGTCAGACAATCAGGTGGATTTCTGACATGTAAGAAATTTTGGAAGTCTTGTAGTTTGAGTATTCTGACAAACTGATTTCCCAAAGTCACACGCATAGGCTTACAAAACAGGCACACTGCCACTACACAGGTAAACATGCATAGGCTTACAAAACAGAGGCAAAACAATCAACATTTGCACTGACTGATTCGAATTATGAGGTATAAACGACAATAGGATGATTAAAAAGAAATGTCTTTGTAAAATAGGCTGTAGAGATACCGTATTGTCCAGGCTATGTACATCATCTTCTGGTTTTAGTTTCAGTGCACAGTGAGGCAGAAGTTAGCAAAGCTGCTGTAGTACATTTTTTTTTACATATGAATACAAATACATACAACATACATGCACACACAATCCCCCAGTTGGCAGTTAGGAAAATTATCCAGATCACAGCTTAGAGTGTCTTAGTTAGCCTGGAAAGTGTCCATAGCAACAGGGAAATTTCCTCTCAACCAAGAGGAACCTCATAGAGTGACTTTCTCCTTTCGCTCAGGTAGCTGGCCCAAGAAGCCGCCGAGCCACAGACCACTGTAGTCGTGCATCATTCTATAGTCCTTGTTATGCCCATATTAGGAACTCTGAGTCTAACCTCCATTTCTCTATGGCCAGAATGAATAGGGCCTTTGAAAAATTGCCTCTATCACACCCTGTGTTGAATAAAAATTTTCAGAACCCGATACGTTTTGTCCTGTGTACATTTTTCTCCTGAATACCACTGGATCCTTTGAATAATGAGATTGTTAAAGAGTTATAATACGAATATTGCTACAAGCGAGCTGAAGCTACTGCACATCAATTTGATGTCACTAAGCTACAAGAAACGAAGGCGGGCTATGGTGGTGTTCTGACGAGTTGTGCTACCTTATCAAAATCTTCTACCGTGGCGCATATTTATGGGTACACCCGTAGTGTTACTCAGCTGTTAAGTGGAAATAGAGCAACCTCTTCAAATCATGCCTTTCGACCCTCCATGAACACAGGTTGTGATAGAGGCGATTTTTCAAAAACCTTATTTATTCTGGCCATAGAGACATGGAGCTTAGATCTGGAGTTCCTAATATGGGCATAAGAGCATGGCGCCGACTACAAAATGATGACACAACTACAGTGGTCTATTTGGGAAAATCGCTTTCGGCCACTATCTCAGTCAAGACAGTGGCAGACTCAGCCAGAGAGGAAACATCAAAACATGCACAAAAACAGTAAAAATACAGTACACAAACACAATGAACAAAATCAATGTGAAGAAAAAGCCATATTGTGCCACACACATGCACACACACACACACACACACATCCAGTACTCATTGCTAATGTAAGATAAAGATAGTCACTTTAGTAGCCAGCTGTGCTTATCTCGCTGCTACATTTCAGACATCTTTCTAGAAGTAAATCAGCACAGAAGTAAAATTCAAGTCTTTCTCATTTGTCAACTGAATTTCTTACAATTAAGTGCTTTTATAAATCTCTTCCTAGCAGAGAAAAAATTTAAACATCAATAATTCTTCATTAGTACTGTTCCGAGATGTGCTTAGTTTCTTCTGAAAGTCTTAGGAAAGACATTTTTGCCCTCACCCTTTCCGTTTTGAGGAATCCCTGAAGGCATTTTAAGGGTTATATCATTATTATAGTGTGGGGGGTTCTCAGAAGAAACTCAGACAACTCAAAGTTCTGAGAACCCCCCACACTATAATAATAATAATATAAGCCTTAAAATGCCTTCAGGGATTCCTCAAAATGGACTGTTTCTGTGCTGATTTACTTTTAGAAGGATGTCTGAAATGTAGCAGCGAGATAAGCACAGCCGGCTACTAAAGTGACTATCTTTATCTTACATTAGCAATGAGTACTGGAAACAGTCATAGGAAAGACATTTTTGTACTTCTGAAACAGTCTTAGGAAAGACATTTTTGCCCTCACCCTTTCCATTTTGAGGAATCCCTGAAGGCATTTTAAGGGTTATATCATTATTATAGTGTGGGGGGGTTCTCAGTAGAAACTCAGACAACTCAAAGTTCTTATCCATAACGTGGCTTTAGAGCTCAGCACAGCAAACAGAATACAGGAGGGAAAATGGCCCTCAGCCTTGCTCACAGCTCTTACTGCTAGCTCTTCTGCACACTTCTAGCTCTCACTAGCTTGCTACAACACACAGCCCAGCAGAACCTAGCCCCGCCTTCAGATATGTAGCAGAACAAATTAAACCAAAATTAACATTCCCAAACATTTCTTATTTAAAACCTGTGTTTTTATTTTTTTTATATTACATGCTCCCACAATGTTACCAGTGATACTGTTGCTTCAATACAACGTAATGGAGCAAAGAAGGAATAAAAAACATAATGTACAAATAAAAAACAAGATTATTACAGAGAGAGAAAAATATTTAAAAAATCAATAAATCATAGTACATAAATAAAATAGAGTACATCTATATCTACATACCCATTATACAAAATATCATTAAAGGACACATTACAAAAGACTCACATACATGTAACACTTCTGTTTGGTATTTGAATCCAGAGTAAAAGTGCAAGAAAAAAGAATTAATAAACAGCTTCTAATAAACGGCATCAACCCTGACAGTCCTGTGCATTGGCAAGGTACGCTTAACAAGTTCTTGGATTACCTGATAACTCATATCTGAGCCTATCAGTATGCAACACATTGGTGACTTCTCTGAGCCACATTTTAAATTTAGGTGGGTTATCTGATTTCCATAACCTTAAAATAATCTTCTTAGCATTTATCATTCCATATGTAACAGCTGTTTGTATACAATTATCAAAGTATTGGAATGCCATTGAAAAGCCAAACGGAGCAATTTCTGGGTCAGGGAACATTCTGAGATTATACACCTTTGAGAAACATCCAAATATAACACACCAATAATTATCAAGTTTTGGACACACCCAAAAACGGTGAGCAATAAAATGGAAGAGAGAATACAGTGAAGCTTTATTTTAGAATAGTGGTGTCTGTGCATGACCTTTAATTGAAGAAGTTGATGTCTAGCATTTATTAGAACTGTATTCTCTTGAGACTTTGTTCCTAAACTTCACTATCTATGCCAATGAGCAGTTCCTTCTCCTATGTTTCCCTCAAGTTACTTGTAGTGAAATTCAGATGGTTTGAAAAAATACTGACAAAGCTTGAGACCAATTTTTTGGGACCCTACCAAAAGCTGCAATAACAGGCTTTCTGGAGGATGTGACTGACAAGAAGATATACTTTGACATATTTTACCTCTTATTTACAAAGATCTGAAAAAAAATCTGTTTTAGACAGAGAAAAATTTGTTTGTAATTGTTCAAATGAGGCCAAATAAGCATTAACATGGAGGTCTTTCAACATCACAATGCCTTTCTTCATCAAATCTTGCAACAAGCCATCAGATAGAGCAAGAGAGAAGGCATCATTATACCATATTGGTGTATATATACATGTGTCAAAATGATTGCAAGCTTTCCTAATTTGATGCCAGATTTTTTGAGAATTATTATAAAATGACCACTCAGTGCCCTAGGATTCTGCAAATGAATCATGATCCTATAATTCTCAGCCCCCCCACACAAAGAGCATGATAATTGAATCCAATGATTGAAAAATTGATCTGTGGATATTCTGAAATAAGTAGAAAAATGTGGGAAGAAAAAACATTTTAATTGCATTCATGCATCCAATAAGAGAAAGACACTTCCCCCTATGCAAAAGGAAGGGCAAATTTATGGTACGTTATAGGCATATAGCCGTCTAACAAAAAAAGAGAATATATACATATAGCCGTCTAACAAAAAAAGAGAATATATTGGGAATAAAACTAGTCTGGTCTGAATGAATGATGGAAGTGATACAGTGCTTTAGTCTATTCACTAATACTTTACTGAAAATTTTCAAATCAGAATTTAACAGTGCAGGCCTATAAGAGGAAAGCTCTGCTTTGTCTGTCCTCTGAGATATGTGCACTATATATTGTCTGGGAGAGTGTTCCTATTTTAGTTGAGTGAGAAAATATTCTCAGTAAAAGCAGGGCAATGTGAATAGCAATTTTTTTATAAAATTCAGTCCCAAACCTGTCAGGGCCAGAAGCTTTACCAGCTTCACTGGGAAAGAATTTAATTGATTCTATGATTTCTTCAGAGGTCGGTTTAGAATCTGTGCAGCTTTATCCCTTTTAGGTAATTAAATGCTTTTTAGTCAATTTTTAATGTCTCCCTTTGCTGATTGACTGATACATGTTTTCATAATACTCCCTAAAACAATCATTTATTGCTTTTGGGTTTGTAAGTAATCCTCATGAAGGTGATTTTATGTGGTGACTAGCCCTGCTCGTTGGCAAATCTTTCAGCTGATGAGCTAATAGCCTTTGGGGGTTATCTCCAAATTCAACATACCTCTGTTTGACTTTTAGAATCTGATCACATGCCGGGCTTGAAATGATTGTGTTATACTCATATTTTAGTTTAAGAATATTTTGTAAAATTTGAGTGCTCTCTTTGTTTCTATATGAAATATCCAATTTTGAAAGCTCAGATTTAATTTCTTGTAGCCAACACTGCTGCAGATATTTTAAGGATGCCTCAAATATGTCCCCATACAACTACCTTAAAAGTTTCCTATAAAGAATAGTCTGAGACATCAGATGTATCATTGATCCCTAGAAATTTTTATATTTTGTCTGATATATCCTGACAAAATGTA